GTGAAATTAGCCTGTATTTTTTAGTTAAAGCCGTCTGTACTAAAAAAATACAAAAAAAAAACTAGCCGGCGCGAGGTGGGCGGGTGCCTGTAGTCCCACTACTCGGAGGCTTGAGGAAGGAGAATGGCATAAACCGGGAGGCGGAGCTTGCCAGTGAGCTGAGGATCCGGCACTGGCACTCCAGCCTGGGGGACAGAGCGAGACTCCGCTCAAAAAAAAAAAAGAAAAGAAGTGGGACGGGAATGGGCGAAAGAAGGGTGAAGAAATCAGTTTTAAATCAGAGGAATGTTTTTTAAATTACAGAGAATGTTTTACCATTGAAGTCAGCATGTTCCTTATCTTAGAAGAGACATCAAATGAGGTTTTTTGTTGTTGTTTTTTTTTGTTTTTTTTGAGAACGGTAGGAGTCTCGTCCTGTCGCCGGGCCTGCAGTGCAGTGGCCTCGATCTCAGCTCACTGCAAGCTCCGCTCCCGGGTTCACGCCTAGTTCTCCGGCCTCAGCTTTCCTGAGCTTAGCGTGGGACATACAGTCCGCCGCCCTGAGCTCGCCCCGCTAGTTTTTTGTATTTCTGTAATAGAGACGGGTCTTCACCGTGTTTAGCAGGATGGTCTCCATCTCCTGACCTCGTGATCCGCCCGTCTCGGCCTCCCAAAGTGCTGGGATTACAGGCTTGAGCCACCGCGCCCGGCCATAAAATGAGGTTTTATGTTGACTCAGACTGAGAATAGTATAAAGTTCTGGGGCCTGTGAAAAATTTTATTTAGACCACTGAAGACAAATTCAACTGAATATTTTAATGGGAAAAAGAAGAAAATGTGCAGAGTTCTTACTAGAACAAGGTCCCAATTCAAGCCCCACAAGAGGGTTCTTGAATTTGCTCAAGAAAAAATTCAGGGTGAGTCCACACAGTAAAGTAAAAGGGAGTTTATTGAGAAAGTAAAGAGGTCCGGAGCGGCGGCGCGGATCACTGAGGTCGCAGATCGACCACCATCCTGGCGCCTAACATGGTGAAACCCGCCGTCTCTACCTAAAAATACAAAAAAACCTAGCCGGTGCGTGGTGGCGGGCGCCCTGTAAG